CATGGTTGAAAATCTGTTTTTAAGCATTTGGGAGGGAGACTATGCCTTTGGCAACTGTCACTCATTGAGCTCTTCACATTTTCTTACTACTTTTAATGCACTGGCCAGGTGTAATGAGCAGAATAGGCTAGAGTTGATAGGTATTTGTAAAATAATCATTGATATAATTATTCACATGGTGCTGTGTATCATAAGGGTAATTTTGAGATGTTGGAGCCCCATGTATCCTTTAGTCCCAAGAAAACACTTCTTGCTGGTGATAGTAAAAATGATAGTTTTATGATGGTTATTTATTTAATTTTTTGGTACTGGGGATCAAACTCAAGACCTTGTACTTGAGAGGCAGGCATGATGCCACTGAGCTAAATCTCTGACCTTCTGCTAAGTAATTTAATCCTTCCCACACCCAAATGAGGTAACTTTACTTTATTCCCCTATTTTACTAGTGAGGAATTGAAGCATAGGGAGACTGAGCAACTCCCTCGAGGTTCTGCAGCCATCTGGGACACTCACAATTCTAACACAGAATGTGGATTCCTATGAGCAAACTCCTAATTATTATGGATTAGGGCTCAAGAAACCATTTGATTTGGTCTTGTTTTCTTTGGGGCCATTGCTCTTGCAGTATTCACTAAATACTGAGGCAGAAGGGTCAGTAGCTCAATCTGCTGGTGGGAGGCTGGGGACCTAGTCCTAGAGTGGTGGTGCTTTTTCTCTCATCTCTTTTTCCATGTTACTAGCACCATGTTACCACGTCTGAGGCATTCAGGGTCTCCTGTCAGCTTCTGTTCTATTGTCTAAGTTATTTCTTAATGAAGTTAAATCCCAATGGGCTGTAAGAGAGTTCTAGAAGGAGGCCTTTTTTCCAGCTTGGCATTTAGAGTGGCTTTCAGATTGTTTTCTCATTGACTTCAAGATGAGCTTGCTCTATTTATTGATGGTAACCACAGTGTAGTTACACATGTAGGCACAAATTATTATTATTTTTGTACTTTATTTACCAGAAGATTTTCTTCTTTGCTAAACAATAGAAATAAATATAACTCCACATCTTAAAATCATAAAAGGTTGCAATTAGTAATAATACACTGTCTGTTTAGCCTTTTGTTTCCAAGGCAGAGAACATGCAGTAAAGAACTTTTTGAACATCTATTTTGATAAAAATTTCCTTGAAAAAAACCACCATTTATATTTAGTATGAGAAATAATTGGTGAGAAAATTGTTGAATGTAGAAGAACTTGTTATATTCACTCCTTTCTTGCTGACAGATAAATGTTACTTTCAAATGAAACCAGCATATTTTATTGTTTGGAATAAAACATTGAGTAATGTTCTATATAAAGAATTCCAGCATTAAGCAGAAGCAGCCATTATTTTGTAAAGAGATAATTTCAGTTCATTGTGGTTCTTTTTATTTGTACAAATGATGCATTTAAACTTTAGGACTTCCAAGTAGAGGGGGTAAAAAAATGAGAGAATAAGATGAAATAAAGTATATGGGAATGAAGTTGTAGGTTCATAACTTAGTATCAAAGTGTAAGTTTTGCAGCTAACTAAACTGTACACAGTTTTATAAAAGGAGCAGTGTGATATGTAGTTTTTTTAACTGCAGTTTCACCCAGTCTGTTCGGTGAGTGACTCGTTCCCACTGCTTGAACCCCCAGTGGCACATGCATGGCTGTCCCATCCAGCGGCTTGTACTGCTGGAGTACAAGCAGATCTAATCACTTTTATCGGTCTTTTTACTGATAAAATTAATTAGAAGCCACCCGATGGGACAGTCATTCATGTACCTCCAGGGGTTCAGGCTGTCTGGCAAAGAGGCATGAGTTACGGCCCCATTGTTGAATGTGTTAATACTTTAGGTGTGAACAGAATTAATGAGCAGTATTTTCTTTGAATTTTATTAAGCACTGCATCATTCTGCTTAACCTTATGAAAAAATAAGTAAAATTTGGTGTTTTTAAAAAGATAAGGACAGAACCAACCAGTTATTTTAAAGTGTAAAGATGTTGACATTAGAGAAATCTATCTTAAGTCCATTTTTTATTTTTAATGGCAGTGCAGCGGGTATCCAGTTATCTAAGTGGTAGATGCATAGTGACACCAGGGGTACAGGCTGAACACCCCAAATTCCAGAGTCCAAAATCTACAATTGGGAATGCTCCAAAATCTAAAATGTTGTGAGTGCTGATAAGACATTGTTTCTTAGAGTCTACAGATATTCCAAAAAACTGTACTGCAATACTTGGTGATCAAATGTTTCAGGTTTTAAATAAAAGATACTCAAGTGGTATAGCCTGCCCTTCTGTCGGTTTAATAATACAGAGCAGGAAAGCATTTTTTTTTTTACCCTCAAGTCTGTAGATTCTGTGCTTTTATGAACAAATTATTCCCTTTCATTGCTATATCCAATCTTGAATTTTTGTGATATCCATGAGATCACTTTAAAAATTCATTATGCTAAAATTTTTGTTTTTGTTTTTGTTTTTTTGAGACAGGGTCTCACTATGTAGTTGAGACTGACCTGGAACTCATTATATAGCCCAGGCTGGTCTCAAACTCACAGCAATCCTCCTGCTTCAGCCTCCCAAGTGCTGGGATTACAGGCGAGCTGCTGGCTGCAGAGTTAGTTTAAATGAATCCTTAAACATGTATGTAGAAGGGTGTGTGCGTGTCCTTTGGCTGGCTGTACTAAGTCGGGGGAAAGCTCGAGTTGCCCTGTCTCTGCTGGGCGCAGGTCCGAGGGTTACTCTTGTTTGTGAAGTAGGGGCGCACTTAGAAACATGGGTTGGGCCACGAGGTAGCACTGTGTCTGTCTGAGGGGCAGAGTTCCTGCTCTGGGATTCTGACTGGGCGGCTTCACTGCAGGGCCCTGTCGTTTATTCACTGTGTGGAGACCGAAAGGCTGACTTGGGCTGTTTCCTCACTTCTGTATAAGGAAGATAACATCACCTACTTGGCTAGATTGGCAGGACCATCTGTTCAAGGCGCTGGGTACTGTCCAGTTCTTAGTAAAAGATCAATCGACACTGAGGATTATTGCTGCCCACCATTGCTAATTTAATAATAATAGTGACACTGCTGTTAGCATATTTAGAAGCAGGCCAGTTGTGTCTTAAAATTGCAGCAAAATATTATTCTCAATCTTTCACGGTAGGCCTTTAGCAGAACTTATTTTTAATGTGTTTTTGTAAATATAGGTATGTTTTCTTACCCATTTCTCTTCAGTGGAAATAATAAAGCTTTACAGTTTTGTGGACTCTAAATCCCAAGTAAGTATATTTTGCTGAAGATCTCATACCATTACTAATCATTTTAATGATACTTCTTTTATCTAATATATACTGTGTATTAAAAATACAAATTTTACCTTGTGATACATTTCATAAAATTCTGTGTACCTCAAGGAACTGTGTCTGCTCTAATTAGGGAAAGCATAACACCTTGCTAGGTTTATTTTCCCTCAATCTCAATTCATTGTTCTAATTTATTGCTATGTTGGAAGAATGAGCATTATCACTGTTGTATCAACATGTTATCTGTTTTACTTTTCATTTCAGTGCCTTGCCAGAAAATATTTGTTATTGACATGAAAGAAAAGAAAATAGTTCTTTTCTGTGGTGACAAATGAAGTACTGGGATTGTGCCACCCATTCTAAATCATTTCTGAATGATTCATAATTTAAAAATATGAGCTGAAACGCCTGTGAGTTGTGTGCAGTTCCTGTTTTGCTTGCTGAGAAGCAATTGTTTGGCACACGGCACAGTGACCTTCTCAGTCCATCCATGCAGTGGGGATCCTGGGCTTGGTGTGATCTGCTGTAGCGGTCGTAACTACACAGTGGTGCTATCGATTAAGCAGTCACCACAGCCCCTCCCAGGCCTCAGTAGCTTCCCTCTTCTCCCTTCCAACACCCCACAGGGCTCCGTCACTTCTCACGAGGCCCATTCTGTGCACCAACATCACTTTCAGGTGTTTGTGAAGTGACTCTTGGGCCAAGCGTGTTCCATAGCCTAATCATGAGAGAAAATGTAATCTTTTGTCTTGGGCTGTGATAAATTTTAGGCAAATGCCCCTATTGATGCTGAGGAAAATGAGAGAAATGTTTTATTGAACTATAAGAGCAAGGCAGTTGAAGTTCATTTTAAATGTACGGTCATTATTCTTAGTTCAGAACAGTTAATTCAGTTGTTTCCACGGACTCCTGGACGTTACAGCTGTAGGTCCCTTTGAGGTGACATTGAAGCTCTTCATGGTAGACTGCCACGTGCCAGAGACTGCCGAGCTTGTGAGAAGATGTGTTCTCTTGCTGTGTCATAGTACATGCTGGATTTCCTTCCTTTTCCTTTAAATTTATTCTTGGTTCCATTTGATCAGGTCTCAACTTTGCCCCTTGCAGGTTTTTTTGTCACCTTTCAGGGCTCCTCTTGAACCCTCACAGTCATCGCCCCGTCCTCTGAGTCCGGCCGTCTGTGGCTGTTTAAACTTAAAGTGGCTGAAAGGAATAGAAGTGGAAGCTTCTTTTCCCAGCACGAGCACCCTCCTCACGTTGGTGCATGCACACGTGGCGAGTGATCACTGTGTTGTGTGGCACAGACAGACATTTCTGTGACCTCTCCTTGGGTGGCTCCACTCCGGACTGTGAGGCTTTGGTCTGGGGACTGTTCATGTTGAGGATCGTACAGCTCGGGCTCTTAAGTATTTTCCAATGTGTGAAATGGCCACATACACATACCAGTTTTAAAATTCTTCATCAGATACCTTCTTTGAAACTTTTCTTTGCTCTCTGAACCTTGTTTATGGTTGGAGATCAGCAGTACTGTATTTCCCATGTACATACTGTCATTGTACACTATCTGCATCATGTACCACGTACAGTACCATAAACAAGAAGTGTGGTGCTTAGGGCAGGAGATTTTTTTTTTTGTATCATGCATATTTCTTGTGAAGCTAGAAAATTTGTGTTTTCAATGTTTATTCTTTTTTACATTTAAGTCGTCACGGTGACTCCTTGGCGATCATTCCTTGGCATGAGCGGAAACACCGAGCTAAAGATTGGTGCGAGGAGGCGCAGTGCAGGTCAGTAGGATCCAACGTGGGCGTCTTCCTTTCCTTGTGGGGGTGAGAGGTGGCCGGCGACAGCGCTGTGTAGCCTGCTATCTCACTGGATGGCATCCCTGACTTAGAGAACCTGAGCAAAGTTTGAAGAGAAACACTACTGACTCATTCACATCAAGATTTTTTTTTTTTTTTTTTGGTACCGGGGATTGAACTCAGGTCCTTGCACTTGCAAGGCAGGCCACTGAACCACTGAGCTAAATCCCCAGCCCTCATCAAGATTTTTTAAATGAAGTGCTAAATGACACAAAGGAATTATTCTAAAAAGTACTAGACTAACTTCATTTGAGCTATTTTCTTTTAGTCTTTCATATAAGGAGTTGTATTTGTCATAGTTGTAGTCATAGTGCACATGCAATTTCTTTTTTCTTTTTTTGAGATAAGTTATTTCTTTTATTAGTAAGATGTGTTTCCTTTTATGTTTATGTACAGTGAAAACAAGATTTCTTAATCCCAATTCACATTGGAATCACCTGGTATTTCGTAAGCCAAGCATGGTGGCTGGCATGGGAGATTTTGATTTAGTGGCCCCTGGCTGTGTACATTTTGTAAGGGCTTTCCAGGTATCCAGAAATGTCTCTATCCTAGAAGTGTGCACATACATACAACACACATGCACATAATGCGTGCGCACGCGCACACACACACACACACACACACACAGGCATGCACATACACATGTCCTCCTGCTGCCTGTCATCTGCCCTGTCCCTGTCTCTGTCCCTCTTTCTCTCAGAATTACACATATTTTTAGCAGCATTTGAGTCCATTATGAGGTGTTCCTTCTGTTGCAGAATGGTTGTTGAGCCAGGACTGCAGGATGAAAGCGAGTTCCTGTACTCTGCACAGCCTGAGTTGCTGCGGTTCCGGACCCCACGGCTGGCGGTGGAGGAGGTGATAGACTGGTACCGGAGCAGGGCTGAGGAGATCGAGCACCACGCTGGCCAGGTGAGGCCTCCGCTGCTGCTGCTGCTGCGGCTGCCCAGGGACTGTGAGGGGCTCTGTGGATGCTGGTTGTGCCATCGGCCCTCACTGCTGCAATTTCACGGGAAGAAGTTAACATTTCTTCTTAACTTTCATTCATTTATCCTTTGCTCCAGAAGCTTTTACATTGTTTTGAATCTTATAGAGCAAATACGTGCAGGAAAAGTTGTCTGGGATCCTTTTAAACATATATCCTGCAATCTACATCACACATTCCCGACTCCGATTTTCTGCCCGTTTTTAATATACTTACTACCACATTCATTTAAAGGATTGTGTCTACAGAGAAATGCTTGATCAGTCCCCATTAGGGCACAGGAACTCAGTCGACTGATTTTGTTCTTAAAGACCCTTTTCACAGCTATTTCTTCTGTTTCCCTAAGATGGTGCCTGATTTCTGGCAGCCCTGCCGGTTGCTTAGGGCTGCAGCAACAGATGCATAAGTGGGGCGTGACTAGAGTGACTGGACCTTAGGGTGGCTGGGTTCGGATCTGTTTTCTTTTTCTTTTTATTGAGTTTATTGGTACATTCTAGGTATACAGTACAGTTACATTCTCTACTGGGATCTTGTACCTTTACATGACAGGTCTTGGTTCTCATTGTTTTCCCTTGTTGGATCTTGACACTAATAGACCCCGGGACCCTGGGGCTGATGCCTCCTTCTGTGCCTTGGTTTTCTCATGGGGTTAGTTCCAGTCCAGAGCTGCTGAGAATAAAGGATGTGCACTTCTGAGAGTATTGGCCGCTCTGCTGACTGAGTGCTGTGTAGATGGAGGCCCTGGTTGCTTTATCTCAGCACGGAGATTAGTGACAGCGCAGAGCGTGGATGAATGCACTCTGAAGTCTCACTCAAGATATTTTCCTTTTTAGATAGAACTTTTTTGGTGATAGCCAAGAACATTTTTCATTGGCTTCCCCAATTTTTTTTTTCCTCTCCATACCGGGGATTGAACTCAAGACTGTGCTTGTAAGACACAGTTAAGTCCACTGAGCTAAATCCCCGGCCCAGGCTTCCCATATTTTTGAAGATGGGTAAGGACCTTACTACATTGCAAAGAGTTTAGGATTTTAAGGAATCACAATGAAAAGAATCTTTGGAGAAAATCAAGTTGTATTCTGTGCTTTTTAGATAGATAAACCAAGGTCCTCATAAATGAGCTGAGCACCCTGCATAGGGACCCCTGGGCAAAGCCAGGCGAGAACCTATCGTGGTACAGAGCGCATGTAACAGCAATTGGACACACATCCCAGTGACTTAGAGCAACGTGCTTGTTCCTAATGTAGTGCTGCTTCTCATGGTACAGTATAAAAGGGCCTTGGTATCTTTTTGTAGCAAATATCGTATAATGCTTTCTTTATCATCCTGATGTAAGAATCATACATACTGTATTTTATCTTCATATCTAATGCCCAAATCATTAATGTGATAATGTAATTGCAATATACAGCATAAATAAATTATGTCAGTGCTTGGCCTTGGCCATGGCCACACAAGGCTGTAAAGTCTGCACGTAGTCACTTTGAACAGGGTATGAAATTGTGCAGGAATTCAAGTGTGTTGTTACATCAAACTCCATGAATTGCTGTCAGTGTTGTGAACAACTAAGGCATGGTCAACAATTGTTAATAAAACTGCAATCTTTATACAATAGTTATATTAAAGGAAAATTTAGTGTAAATTAAACCACACCAAAAAGAGCGTTCGGTGACGGTTAAAGTGGATCTAGACTCTGCTGGTGGGTTTTGGTATATCAGAGAGGTGACGGGAAGCAGCAAGCAGACTGGCTTGGGTTTGCAGCACCGTCCGTGCACCGTCTGAGGCATGGCCTTGCTGCTTACACCACTGACTCCCCCGTCTCGCTGTGGGCACAGATGCCACCCTTGCTGTCACGGTGTCACCTGGTGGCCCATTCTGTGCCATCAAGAGCTGTGGTCCTAGGGCATAGCCTCTGTCCCTGTTGGTGACCTTAATCTGGGTATCCGCCCTTCACTCATTAGAGAGAAGCCCACCAGGCAGCAGGTGACCGAGAAAGCTCTGGGCAGCTGGGGGCTGTTGCAGCATCCTCTGGACCAGAGGTGCTGTACAGAGACTACAGATTTACCCAGTAATCCAAACTTGAACCGTTACTTGCTTATCAAAAATAGTGATAAGAAGGAAGAAGTGCCATACCCTAGAATGCAAAATAAACCGTCATTTTAAAAAATTATTTTTTCTGTGTTCTTGTAGCTGTTTATTTTTAGAGGAGTTTTAGGTTTGTAGCAAAATTGAAGGGGAGTGCTACGAGTCCCTGTACACCCTGACTCCCCCCTCCCCATTTTCTCATCAACGCCTTGTGCTTCAACACTGCATTTGTTGCAACGGATGAGTCATGTAATTGAAGGGATCAGCAGGGACACATCCAGCTGGTCCCCTAAGTGAATGGATAGACTGTGGTACATCCCGGTAGTGGAGCATCACTGCTTAAAACAAGCGAGTGACCGCATCATGAAAGACAGGAGGGAACCTCGAATGCATGTGCCTGTGTGAAAGAAGCCACGCTGAAAAGCCCACCTACTGTGTAATTCCAGATACACATCCTTGTGGGAAAGGTCAGACTGGTGACAGGAATAAAGCCAGGGATTGCGGGCGTTGGGGGTGAGAGGCAGAGCACAGAGAACGTGCAGGGCAGTGCAGCTATTCTTTATGGCACCGCAGTGGAGGGCGTGTGTCATCACACAGTCATAAAATCCTTGGAGCATACGACACCTAGTGTTGGCTGTGGGCTCTGGGTGCTAATAACATGCCGGTGTGGACTCATCTGGTGGAGAAGTGTCCCACTCCCATTGGGCAGGGCGACACTCTGCTTTCCTTCCTTTCCTTCCTCTTCCTTTCCTTCCTCTTCCTTTCCTTCCTCTCCTTCGCCTCCAGGGACTCTGGGGTACCTCGCACCTGGCCACGCATACTGTCCCTGGAGCCAGGAGATCCCCACTTCCCTCGTCTGCTTCTGTGCTTGACTGAGCAGTCATCTTTCCCTCAAGTCTGCGAGATCTTGGAAGGCAGTGAGCTCCTTGCAGGCAGCTCTGTGGTATCACCTGGGATGATTTAGCCCCTAGCAGAGCCTCTGTAAATAGTTGTCAGGCTAGGATAGGGAGAGCTGATGTGAGGAGCTATAAGAGTGCATGGTATGTGAAATTTTACCCTGGGTCAAATGGCAGACTGCTGCCCATCTAGAGGAAAATCCTTTTGTTTTTTTGGTACTGGGGATTGAAGCCGGGACCTTCACGCTGAGGTCTTTCCCTATCCCTTTCTTGGTTTTCATTTTTATTTGGAGAGAAGGTCTTGCTAAGTTTCCCAGGCTGGGCTGGAACTTGAGATCCTCCTGCCTCAGCTTACCAGAGTGCTGGGATGACAGGCATGCGCCTCCACACCTAGCAGGAAGAGCATTCTTTGTTTTCACCTGGTGACATCTGAGAATTTCAGTTGAGTCGTTTGTATCTGTACCGGTTACTTCATCAGCAAATATGTATCAGATGTGCTGTGCAAGGGAGGCACAGTGAGAGGGAAGGAACCCAGCAGGAAAACTTTGTTTTTAGAATCAGAGTGGTTTAGTGAAAGTAGGAACAGTTTTGCATTTTTTACTACTAGCTAGCTTCCTCTGCCTCTTAATGTAATACGAGAATTAAATGAAGTGCACAGCTGTGCTGTAAACCACGAGGCTTTATGAATTTAAGATGGTTGTCTTCCCCTTAATGTCTGTATCATCAGTATTTCTTCCTGATTTCTACCTGCCAAACAGTTTGATGCTGATGTATTTGATAAACAGCTGTAACTAGGTGCATGTTCCCAGTTAGGGGGTTTTGTAAGAATGGCTGTAGGAGTTAGGTTCTGTGCCGGCAGCTTTTTTTTAGAACATATGAAGGTAGGCGATGCCCAGGAGCTCACTGTCCCTTTCGATCCCAGGTGGACTGTGCGCTGTCCCTCACGCGCCTGGGCATGGAGCGGCAGATCCCCGGTCTGCTGGACCTGTGTGACGACCTGGTCACCCTGGAGACGCTGGTCTACGAAGCTGGCTGCGATTTAACCTTGACCTTGGAAGAACTCCAGAAGATGAAGGACACTGAGAAGCTGAGATTACTGATGAGCAGCGTAGGTTTTAACTTCGCTTCCACGCGTTTTCTGTGTCCTCTAATTAATACATGTCCCTAACCAGAAATGGATTGTCCTACAAGCCCAAGAACTTAGTTAAGCAAAGGATGGTTCTTGCTTGTTTTCCCAAAGTCAGATGATGTGGTAAAATCGTGGAGGAAGACTGGCATGTGCTGCCCGTTTCACACCCCCATCTTGGACTGTCAACCAGCTCACCCTTCCCGTCTCTCACATTCTCTCCTTCTCTTCTGCATCTCTCTCCTCTCCTGTCTCATCTTCTCCACACCCTTTCTCTCCCCAGCCCCGACTTCTCTAGCTCTAGTTAGCTTCCTTCCCGTGATCCACACAGTGGTCTTGTCTGGTGGTGCCTGTGGACCCGCTCCTATACAGAGATTCAAGTGTCTCCTGGGTGACTGAGAGGTCATTTCATGATGATAAGCAAAATTATCTGTGTCATTTGGAGCTTTGCAAAGGTGGATATCAAAGGTCAGAGCAAGACAAAGGGGCAGGAAGGGGTGACTCTGGGCTTTTTATAAATGAGACCTTTCCCAAGTGGCTCTTTTGCTAGGCCTCTTTGCTCGTCTGTCCCTTTCTGTCCCTGTGCCTTATTCTCTTCTGTGCTTCCTGTTAGGTAGGCTAAGGTCTCTCTCTCCTTGACACACCTTCCTCTCCCCTCAGTGGGTTTCTTTCTGCACTGGGGACCTTGTGGCTGAGGAGTGGCTGAGATGTGTGTCTTCTGGAGCTGGGCCTAGGCCGTTGGGGACCACAGATCAGCTCTGGACTGAAGACAGGGCCAGAATGGTTCTGTGGTCGCTATACTCCCCAGGGTGACACTGCTGCAGTGAGCTGTCTGTGGGGCCCTGCTGCTGTGTCTGTTTCAGCATCCGTCTGATTATCCCTAATCATCGGGATTTGTCTGAGGTCCTAAGACACATAACCTAATGGCATTCCCATGTGTTTTGGTTAAACTGTGCTTTCAGTGTTCCGAGGACAAATACGTGACGAGTGCCTACCAGTGGATGGTGCCCTTCCTGCACCGCTGTGAGAAGCATTCTCCCGGGGCGGCCAGGGAGCTGCTGAGAGAATATCTAGTAACTTTAGCTAAAGGAGACCTAAGGTTTCCCCTGAAGATATTTCAGCATTCCAAACCAGATGTAAGTAGAAACTGCACCTTCTCAAATTGTTTGGCACTTTTTTCTTGATAGAATTAAGTGTTATTTATAAATTTTTATGATAGGCATTGTAAATAATTTCCCTCTAAACTGAAAAGAAAATGGTTGTTGTGCTCTTCTTTTTTCAGCCGCATTTTGCGTTTCATGTTAGCATTGAAAAGCTGTTAGCCATCATTAAATAGAAGCACATGAAACTTAAATAAGTTATTCTACAATAGAATCTGGAATTTAAATATCTGGAGCTGTTTCTATAGTTAGTGTGATTTGGTGAGACGGGAAGCATTTGAGCCTTGCTTCTTGATATATGATTTTAATTATTCACATACAGCATTTCCTTAAATTGTGGGAAGCCACGTGTTGGCAAAAGGACCCACTCTTTGAAGTGCATCTATATTGCAGTGTGGGTTTTCACTGGCTGTGGCCAGTGACCTGCATGCAGAACTGAAAAAAGAAAGCACTCTTGTTTCTTTAGTTTGAAGGAGGCAAGAGGATTTAACTCTAAGTCTCATGTGTCGTGTGGAAATGAGTTGTGAGATTCATTTGAGTCATTGGAATAATTTTGTCTTCTACTTTACATAAAAGTAGTCACAGTAACATTAATAAAACAACTTAGCCAAGCATAGTGGTGTATTCCTATCATCCCAGCACCCAGGAGGCTGAGAAAGAAGGAGTGCCTCAAGTTCAAGGCCAGCCTGGGTTATATAGTGAGTTCAGGGCCAGCCTGGGCGACATCAAGAGACCCTGTGTCAAAAAATCAAAATTCAAGGACAAGTGATATCCACAGAGTGTATTTTGGTCCTTTTCCATTGGAGGGGACACAGCAGGATGGCATAGTCCTGTGGTAATGGCTTTGTGGCCATGTCCTGGACATTAGAGTGGGGCCCACAAGGAAGACACTTAGGGCTGCTCCACTTTGAAATTCCAGTTGAATCTACTTCCTGGTACTTTGGTAAAATGGGAACTCTAGGAAAATATACAGTCTTGAGTCAAAGTAGAAAGGAAAGCATTGCCTTATCTTAGAGCATTTTTTTTGTTTGCTTCTGAAAGTGTCAGCTGTCAGAAACACATCTGTCTCTTGGTTATTTTAAAGTTCCTGACCTCTCCTAAGCAGTTTGCCCTTGTGCTGTGGTTTTTGGTTTGGGGCAGTTTACTGTGAGCCAGGTGCACTGCTCAAGGCAGCAGAATCGTGTGTGAGAAGCGGGATAGATTGAAAATGAATGTTTTATGAGGAAGGAAGAAATGACTCTAAATTCTTTCCATAATCTTGTTTGGTCCTTCTTCCTTACAGAATTGTGTAAATTCTTTGTGCACAGTCAGCATTTTGTTGTTTTTGTTTGGCAGTTTAGCATGTGCCTTTTGAATAAAACAGAGCCATTTGCCTCTGTTGAAATATGTGAACATCAAAGCAAGAAAATGATGTCATCAGGCTCTCTCTGTCCAATCCAAATTGCATATTTCTCTTTGTGTTCCCTTTCTGAGAGCTGAGCCTGATCATGCTGTGGTCCTGGGAAGTTCCAGGGGCCGCCATTGCTGCATTGTGCTGGGTTCTTGGCAGGCAAGATGCTTCTTCACTTCTGGCCTTCTCAGCAGCCTTCTTGTCATAGGCATGTGAGTCATCGACCTGGCACTTGTTAGCTCTCCACTCGCTTATGGGCTGTTCCCTTTGTTTAGAGGAGTCACTCTCCCCTCTTCTTTACTGCATAAATCCGTGTCCTTTGAGGCCCTGCTCTGGGATTTTCTCTGTTGTGAAACCTTCCATCATCTGTCTGTGCTGAGATGGGTCCTTGTGCTTGCCTCCGTCATGGCTCTTCCCACCGTGGGTTGGGATTATTGTCCATGTTTGCCTTTGCTCCTTGCTTCTTTGTGTGGCCTGTGCTTCTCATTGATCTGTGTAGGACCAGGGATGAGCATGGTGCCCACCAGAACAGATGGTGCCCATGAGACTGTGTTCAGTGCCATGTGATGGGACAAGAAAGTGAGCAATTGAAACTGGCTTTGTTATAGTGCTTTGGATCACTTGATTCCCTTTGTGTGCTTCACTAGGATTGCTCTGGGAGCACTGTTTGCATCTTACTCGATTGCCTGCAATGTGCCTTGGATCTGCCATGGGTCATCAGCATATCTGAATGATGTAGTAGGAGCACGACTTTGTATCAGACAGCTCAGACCAAATTTTGCTGCAGTAACAGATGATCTCTAAACTTAGCTGTTCATAACCTCAGACATTGGTTTCTCACATGTGTCAGGTCTGCTCCCTCTTCGCTGTGTCCATGTCTTCTTCTCCCAGAGACACAGGCAGAAGAAACAACCTCCTTTTCCATCGTGTGGATCAGGAACAAGAGGAATAGAACCACTCAGTGGTTTTTAAAGCTTCATTCAAAAGTGACTCAACTTACGTCATCACATTTCATGGGCTGAAGAAAATCTGGCCAGTCTGATGTTCCAAGGGCAGGAAGAACAGTCTCTCCCAGGAGAAGGGGAGGGGACGCTTGGGAACTGTAATGCTGTGGGCCACAGTCATAGTGACAAAGGGGTGGGTGTTGAAACTTAGCCATGTTCCACCACTTTGCTCATCTGCTGGGTTCCCATTCAGCCTCCTCCTACCCTGTTTGGTAGCGTCCCAAGCACTCATCTCTGCCATGAGTGCTTTCGCTGGACGCCCCCTTCAGAAAGTTAAGCTGCATAGACCTAGACCCGTTCCGGAGAGAAGAGAACTTGGGGACAGGATTGGCTGCCTTCTAATGTGTAGCATGTTTTCAGTGTGTCTGTGCATCAGAACCTTATATATTTTTAAAATAATGAGATTTTCTTGTGGCCAATCCAGACCTAGTGGAGTAGAACCTGGAAGATGAGGTCTGGGTGTAGCCTCTGGCAGTCTACCCACTGATTCTGTAGAATCCAGGGCTGGGAACATCGGCTTGAAATACATGTGTCTTCTTTTAAGAAATGGGAATTTACTATGTATGGTAGCTTTGTTAGGTTCATCGTTTTAGTTTGTTTCTGATTATATAATTTAGTGGGTAAGTTTGATCTTTCCTAATTGGATGCTTACTCTAGAATATAAACTCAGGAAAGTAGAAAGATAGAAATAGACAGAATCATTGAGTAAATATTCTGAAAATGCATCCACTGTAAAATATCTGAAAGTACTCATGAAATTAGTAAAAATCTGTTTACTCGGATAGCTCAACTATTAAGAGAGTAAAGGAAAACCTTCCTGCCAAAACTGAGGAGGGAGGAAGTCAGAGAAATAGTCCTGAGGAGGAGGCATTGGCTGCTTTGGGTGGGGACAGGGCTTGCAATTTTGGGTTCTACGCTTGAACAGTTGTATTGTCTGTAAGAGTGCAGAGCAGAAATGCCCACACCAGTGGCAGCAGAGGAGCTGGACCCTGCCATATGTGCACTGGGTGAGGCTGGAAGTGGGCACCGTCCCTTTGGAGCACGCACAGCAACAGATCTGCCTAACTTGTGTGCTAACATTTCTCTGGTGACATCAGTCCTGGCTACTGGTATATCTAGTTGGCTTTGTTGGAACACAAGTAGAACTTCTCCGAGGGACTCATATTTGTCCAGATTGCACAGAATTCTCAGAGATGAAGCCTGGTGAAGAGGAGCTTACAATCCAGTTTACAAAACACAAAAGGGAAACCAACTATGAGCAAGATCCAGCAGGTAGTCCTTCATCCCCTGTGTAACAGCTCATCAGATCCAGGCCTCTGAAATGAATGCTTTGAAGATTTCAGATATCAGGAAGGAAATGAAAACGTTAACTGTAAGAAAACAGTGAGAAAGCATAAGATTTGAAAAAGAACCAAAGTGTACTTCTGGAATTGAAATATATTTGTACATACAAGAACCCAACTGGATGTACTCGAAAGTACAACACAATTTAAGAAAGAACTGATATTGGAGAACAATTGAAGAGATAAAATATTTTTAAGATAAATGAAAACTAAGTTTGTCATTTACAGGCCCATCCTGAAAGAATTAACAAACATTCTTCACGGAGAAGGAAATATCAAAAAATAAAGTAGATATAAGGGTGGTTGAAATTGTTTTTGGGAAATTTAGTAAGTATAAGAAAAATATAAACCAGCATTCCATTAATAATTATAAAAATAGTGGTATAGAAACTTAGTAAAGACGAGGAAAACACAAGGAGTGTCCATCAGTAGTTACAGACACAGAATGCAGTACAGGCGTGGTGGAGGGATAAGATGGGGTTTGAAAGATAGACTCCCAGGGTCTGCACTGCTCAGGCTCGGGTGACAGAGACATTAGCAGTCATTAAAGGCTCAAGTATGCTTGTCACTTGGCTTATTGTATTTTATTCTGAAGTATATAGCGCTTGTGGTCAGAATAATGACCTCCGAAATGTGTACGTACACCTTAGTTCTGGAACCTCTTATGATGTATTTTACCTGCCCAAGGGGACCATGCACCATTGATGAAACCAAGAACCTGGAGCTTTCCTGGTTGTCTACTTGGGCCCAGTCTAATCACACAAAACCTTAAAGCCGCTGTTACGGCTTGTGTTTAGATATCCCCCTAAAGCCTCATGTGGATGAAGTGGGACTTTCTATTTCAGAGGTGGCTGAATCTAGAGGGTGTGTTGCTGCGATTAAGGGCAGGTTATGAGTAACTGCTACACATGAACAACTGGTTTGGCTCTGCCTTGATCCCAGTAGTCTGGATGGGATAAAAGGGGCAGAAAGATGCTGCTAAAGCCCCATGTTGCTTTTGCTACTTTGAGCGCACTATGTTGTTTCTTTGCGATGCCTGTTTGCCATCCCTGCCTTGGAGCCAGCTCATTATGGACTGAAACCTTTACAGATTATGAGCTAAATAAATAAACCCTTTCCCCTGTACCTTTGGGTGTCGGGTATTTTGTATCAGCAACGAGAGAAAAGTAACTGACACAGCTGCTAATCTCGATGATTAATCAGCACCATGAGTTACCAAGGAGGCACCATCCTAACAACTCTCTAGATGCCACCTCACACACGCTGGGTGGCAGCTGGTGTCAGAAGATAGCAGGCGTCGGCAAGAGCGTGGATAGAAGGTGACTCTTGTGCACTCTGGGTGGGAACGTGGATCAATACCATTATGGAAAACAGAACAGAGGTTTCTGAGGAAGGTAGAGCTATCACGTGACTCGGCAGTCTCTCTTCTGGGTGTGAACCTGAGAGAAATGTAGTTAAATGAGTAATATATATAGCATACTGAAAAAAATAATAGATTCTAATATTATGAAGTATTAGTTAAGGAATTTTATGTATCTTTTTAATCGAAGCACACAGAACTTGGCTTTAGGGTTAGAAATGGTATTTTTAATGAATTGCCTTTGAAATTCATTGTGCTTTTCTGATCTACTTTATCTTAAATGGGTCATAAATTGAGTCTGTTTTCAGCAGATGCAAAGCTCTGAGTTACAAATGATCTTTTCTAGCTCATTCTGTAATTAAAGTGTGATTTCATTTAGAATTATTAAAGACCCCAAGGTCTGCAAGCTAAAAAAAAATCAAAATTTGTCTCTGTGGCTGATTAATTGCACTACTTAATATTCTATTGACAGCTGCACTTGAATAGGGAGAGGCTATAAATCTATTGACATTTAGTGCAGCATGCTTTATTTTCTCTAGCTACAGCAAAGAATCATTCCCGATCAGGACCAGTTGATGACCACAGCGCTGGAGTGCATCTACAGCTGTGCACGCAGTGACCAGCTCCCTCTGTGCTACGGCATCCTGGAGTGTCTGCCGCAGAGAGGGCGCGGGTAAGGGGCTGATGCGTGCCGTGCTTTCATTCTGACAGTGTTTTAACTGTTTTCCCAGTGTTTGTCGTAGAGAGAGTGCAGAGTATTCAAAACTATAAAACAGAAGAGGAAACCATGCGCTATCTTGTTGTCTGCTGGTACTTTTACTGATTTATAAGAAGTTCTGTGTTTTTAACAGTCATTATAATTATTTTACTATGATTGTGTTAAACTTGATAATTATCTATTTAAACAAAAAATACCACCACCACAACAAAAACACATTTAAAAAGGATTAATAGTGATTTACTTGGCTTTAAGCTGTATTTTTAATTAAGCATTTTTCATGTTTGTAGATTAATTGTATTTGTGAATTTTTTATTCTTGGCCTTTACCTATAGTAATCTTTTTAAATTGTAATGGGTGTTTATAATTTTAAGTGCTTTTTGTTTAAATGGAAATTTATATCATATGCTTTTGGATTATTTAGTTGTATGCAAATCAAATTTTATTTTCTCTTCACAAGCCAAGGTGCAGTCATTCCTCCACTTTCTTTTTTTTGTTTGTTTTTGGTACCGGGGTTCAAACTTGGGACCTTGTGCTTGTGAGACAGGTGGTGGAAGCACTGAGCTAAATCCCCGGACCCTTCTACTCTCTTTTTAAATCTAGTATATATTATCACTTTGACATCTGGAGAAGTATACATGTTCACAACATGTGAAACGTCACTGAATGAAAACTCACACCTGTTTCTAAGCCTTTGTGACTCCAAATCTAGCCAAGTTGCTTAACTTCTCTGTTTATTAGTTTCTTCATTTGCAGAAAAGATTTTAGACAAGAAAGCTCCTTACTGTTTTCTCTTTCCCTTTGCTCTTATTATTGCCTTGTCTTCTTTCAAGAAAGTCTTTTTTGTGAAGCAAATGATAGCAATCATTTGTTTTATAATCACTGTGAAGTAATTGTTCATGCAATCATTAACAGTACTGAAATCAGGTGGAAGATTAATGGTTAAAGTTTAATTTGTATGTTAACAGAGTATTAGTCCTGCAGCTTATTTTTTTGATTCTGATTTTAAAGGTGGAAAAAAATTTTGAAAGGTGAAATTGACTTTAGTAAATCGAGGTCTGACCGCCATTATCCTAACGAATGAAAGTGGCATTACTCATGGTCAGACCACTTGACTTTATATGCCCTGGTGCAATGTAGCATGAAGTTGTTGGTTTTGCAGCCTCCCTTCCAAAGCACTTGTCCTGAAATTGTTCACCTGAAACTGACCTATAGGCTGAGCTTCTAGTTTACATTTACTCAGGGAAAAGAAGAACACGTTTAATAAAACTATGAAGGAAACAACAAATGCACAATGCAGGATGTTCTATAAGTTAACTGATCTTTTCACGATAAAAAGTTAGTGACATTTAGAAAAACAACTTGTTGGAAAGGTATAATTGTAAAATAAAGGGGTCCAAAGAGGCACAGTCCCTTTCTAATTTTAAAATATGATGCATGAACATAGTTGAAATCAGGCAACTGTAAGATTTATAATAGATAAATAGGTGTTTGCCTACTGTCCCCATCTTTAAATACCTTCTTCAAAAAAAGCAGATATTTTAATAATTTCTCGTCTTTGCCTGCCTCCTTTAAAATATTATGCTTATGTTACTTATTAATTTTGCAATTTTAGATCACGATTGACTTCCTTTTATGGAAATGCATTCCCTTCTCCACATCTATTCCTTCTACCAATTTTTAAATTAAAAATGGGGAGGAAAGCATGGGCCTTGTTAAAGACAAAGCTAGATGGAGTGTGTGACTGCAGTATGTATTCTGCCCTCAGTCTGGGCTCGGGACCCTTACACAAGGGGAGGGTAAATCACTGGGAAACCTAGCATCTCTTTGTTACTGTGCAGGTGTGACAGACCACAGGCTGCCACTGCCCCAGGGCCAGTGAGGCTCTGAGGACCAAAGCCTTGGGTAGGTGGTGAGGGGCAGGAAAAGGGACCACATCAGTGCAACTCTGTAGTAGAGTCAGTGCCCATGGGAAGGCTGAGTGTGAGGCTCCCCCCTGACAACACCCAGTGAGCTGCAGTGGTCAACAGTCTCTTTCTTGGTGGGGCCAGAGAGAAATCCAGTACTTCTTCCAACAGGGCAATGCCCTCTCTCATTCCAAGTCAAAACCTTGACTTTCAACTTCCATGTAGAAAAGACAGTCACTTACTGAACCTAGTTAAGTTTGTTTCCATATATCTTACCTAGTGTCTTAGTTACTTTTCTGTCCTTGGTGAGACAAAATACATGATACACACAAGTTAAATGAGGAAAAGTTTATTTAGCTTACAGTTTGTAGAGCTTCCAGTTCATAATTGGCTGACTCCAAGGCAGAGTGGCGCATGGCAGAGGGGGGCATTGCAGAGAGGAAAAACAGTTCATGGAACGCGTAAGACAGCAAAAGCAACAAGGGACCTAAACAATGTCTTTCTGCCCCTTTTATTTTATCCAGACTACTTGGGGTGGGTAGTGCCCTTGAACCTAGCATTGTACTATGAATCAGTCACACACTGCAGATCCAGCCACCTCTGAAAAAGCCCTACCTAGATTGCATCAGGCTTTGAGGGAGACATCTAGACCTAATTCATGACATGCTGCCCCTGGTGCCCCAAAGACTCATGCATATCCCTTTGTGCAAAAGATCATTTAGTCCACCTCTAAGAGTTGCCAAAGTCCTAACAGTTTTAGCATTGCTCAAAAGTCCAAGTACCAAGTCTCCTCTGGGATTTACGGCAAACTCTTAGTGGTAAGCCCCTATACAAATGAAAGTTAAACACTTCCAAAGTTCAGTGACACAAGATAGTCATTTCCATTCCAAAAGTTACAAATGTGGATACAAAGTAATGGGAACAAAGCAAGTCCTAAATCTAGCAGGGCAAACATTAAGTCCTGGCAATCTGTGGCAAGTCGTAAACTCTGGAGGGCTTGGGTGGCTCTGCCCCTATCTTATTGCTGGTGGTTGTAGTTCTTGTGGCTTGTTTCTAAGGCTGGCTGTGCTCTCACCTTGCAGTTTTCCTCACACGAACCACATCCTTGGCTTCTCCAAACTTTTAGGGTCTCCACTGCACCTTCAGCTTCACACTCACAGCTTCACACACTGCCCTCAGGGGCACTGCCTGGCCTCTCAGGCCTTCTGAAACCTTGGTGGAAGCCTTCCTGAACCCACAGCTTTTGTATTCTGCCTGCACCTAAAAATAGTGCCACATGGATGACGCCAAGGTCTGCAGTCAGCTAAAGCAGTAGCCAGGGTTCCTTCTCTCTTGGCTGTAGGAGTCCAGTGCCCATGAACCAAATCCTGAGGAACAACTTCCCTAGGCTTCTGCCATTCTGGGACATGGTGCTCTGGGGCTCTCTTTTCAAAGCAGAGTCTTTCACTTATGCAGTTTTGGGGCTGCAGAGGGTGGTTTCCTGCTGCTTCTTGTGATGTCCTCAGGCCATCTTTTCTATTCTCTAGTTCCTTCTCAGCAGTCAAGATCTCCTCTGCTCTATCTTTGCAGTCCACAGCTTTACTGAAGCCTCTTTTCTGGCCAAACTCGAAATGTTTTGAATCATTCTGCTGGGATCTTTGCTCTTGACTCTCAACATAAATCTGGCTAAATGCCCCCAACAGTAGCCATGCACCAGCCTCAACATTAGACTGCCTTGAAATTTCTTCTGCCAGATTAATTAGTCCATCTCCTTTAATCTCAGTCTCAGGCAAAGTCTCTGGACAAGAGCAAAATGCAGACAAACTTTCTTCCAAGGCATAACACACATTGTCTGGAGTCCAACAGCCAATGCTGTCCTTCTTCCCAGCAGAAACCTCCTGAGCCGGGTCTTTACCAGCAGCATTTCTATCAGCCTTCTGGTCTTCTGAGCTCTGATCAGAGTCTCTTGTCAAGTACTGCCTAAGGCGTTCCAACTCTACTTTTTAAGCCAGCATCTCCAAACCTTTCTAGACTTTTTTTCACAGGCCATTCTCAAAGGCTTCTGAACCACATGGTAAGATACACTCAACAGCAGTGACTCCACTTCTCTGGTACTAAATTCTGTTATAGTTAGTTTTCTCTCATTGCTGAGACAAAATGCCCAATACCCACAAGTTAAGGCAGGAAAGGTTTATTTGGCTCACAGTTTATAATGGTTTCAGTTCATAGTTGCCTGACTCCAAGGAAGAGTAGCGTGGCAGAGGGATGTCACAGAGGAGAAACAGTTTGTGGGACACAGAAGACAGCAAAGTCAGTAAGCAACCTAAACAGTGTCTTTCTATTCCTTCATCTTCTTCAGACTACTTAGGGTGGGTAGCACCCTTGATCCTAGCCTTTGTACCATGAATCAATTCCAGTGTCACACACTCTAGGTCCAGCCACCTCTGAAAGAGCCCCACCTATGACCAAATGAGGCTTTGTGGGTACATCCGAACACAGGCCATAACACCTAGGCAGCATATTCCATCTGGCTGAAAAACTCTTTAGCCATACACTTGTGATTGCCAATCACAACATGGGAAATACAATGTATTCTGTACTGTACTGCTACAAAATGATACTTTTAAAAATATGACTGCTAAGTGGTATGTTAATTAGTTAGCTCTGATGAATGCCCTTTGGAAGGCCTATATAGACTCAGCTCCATTTTTCACTGTGGCTCAAAGTCTAAAATTTGGTTTAGACAGACAGTATAATTTGTGTAAGTTGCACCCAATAGTTGTCTTATAGAATTAGAGCAGGGCAGACTGATCATTTAAAAATTAATGCAGTTTTGTGTTTATGTTAGGACGTTAACAAATGTCCAAGTGTTGGCACTGGTGTTTATTTGGGCTTCTTCTTAATAAGCCCTAAGGCCTTGCTGGAGTCAGGTAGAACGCTGTTGGGAAGGAACCTAGGTGCCAGGCATGGTGCTCTGGGGTAGGGTGGGTGGGACTGAGAGCCTTGTAGCTTGCAAGAGGTCTTCCAGAGTTGCTGTATCTTTCTGCAAATCCCCTGTTCACTTGCCCCACCAGGGCTGTTCTCATTTATTTGTGGCCCTTTTTACCATACTGGTTCTTAGTCTGCTGTCCACCGGCTTCCTCAGAAGTGTTTGCTTTTTATGTTCCTGGCCTACCAGCAGTTGCCTCTCTAAAATCTCTGTTGCTGTCTGGTTTCTCCCAGTTGAAGCAGATGTGGAACTCCCCCGAGCAGTTGTGTGTGCCACCCCAAAGGCCCTCGCTCTGGAGGTCTCAGGGAAACACCAGGCGCAGGGCCATGCTTCCTCCTCTGCTTCTGGTTGAAAGGACAGAGATAGACATTGGGCTTGCCCTTTACCGCTCTTGATAAGATAAAAAGACAGCATTGATTTATAATTCTTTTTTGCCTCGAAGAGCTAAACCAAAGTATCTCAGAAAGCACTGCTGTCTGTTAGTCTGCGGTAGGGAATGTTCTGTTCCTGGGTCTTTAATTTTCATCTGTTGCATCATGAAACCCATTGAGTGAACTCAGGAGATAAGCGAGACACATCACCTGCCGAGTATAGTCGTGTTTTGTGTGTGAAGTGTAAGAGAAATGTCATTTTTCTCACTTCATGGAGTTTGTGTTTCATTAAAAGTAATTTTAGTTTTCACTTCCTTTGTTCTTTAGTCAGAAGACACAGGTAACCTCAGCTCTTCACGACAGGGTGGACCAGCTGGAACGGATTCTCAGGTGAGCGAAGTGAGGGCCTCCCTCCCCCAGCGCCACCCAGAGCCTGTCAGTCAGCACCATGCCGAGCTCTGGGGTGAGGACAGCGTGGGCTTGGTGCTCCCAGCCTGTGTTCACATCTGCATTCGCCACCCCCTCACTCCCCTGGCAACATTGGAAGGCAAGGTTTCCTTCGCCACGATAGCTAACTCAGCAGACTTAGAATTCATAATAGGTCAAGTGTTTAAGTCCCTCGCACAATATTAGACACACAAGAAAAATTAATTTCTGCAGCAGTTGCTGCCACTAGCAGGCAGCACTGTGTGTTTTACTCCTAACTTTTTTGGGAACAATATATTTATCAGCTCTTGGGATGATTCCCGACTGGCAGAGCCTGCCTATAACTGTAGTGATGTTCTTCATGTTACAGTGAAAACTTGAGCTTGCTCTCTGGGAGCCTGAAATATTCCTCACCTGCCACTTAGGAAGTCTAATGTTGCTTCCTTTAGTTATTTTATGTATATAAGTATATTATTTTTAAGTATCATAAAAATTTCAAAATTACAAACTCTGTTCTTTTAATATATATAATTGTAGAAATTATACATGGCATCACTTTAGTACTAGTAAAGTGTATAGTGCAATGTAATTTATTCACTCAAGGTGTAAAAACATTGTAAGTTGCGTTTAAGGGAACTGAGTATTTCTGTGTGTCATAATATGAGTGTGGTAAAGAATGAGCTGTTCGTTTTCTCAGGATTTCTGCTTATTATTAGCCTGATTCTTGTTATTTTGTACTGTGAAAATGGTGCAGGCATGTCTCTTTAAAAGTGTTTGGCAAATCAAGCTTTTCCTGGTAAGTTGGCTTGTCCCTCCTCCCTCGGCCTCACGGAAAAACTCAGTGTCGCCAAGTGGCTGATTCAGTGTGGAGTCTTTGCTCACAGATCTACAAGTCGCCTGTTTCCCAAATGAGACCTGGAAGAGATCTTGGCGAGACTCAGGGAAACACAGGCATGACTTATTTCCCTATGTGTCTGCGTGACCAGGGCCATTCTTGGTGGTCACGCCTGTACCTCAGCGAGGCAGTCACATCCGGCAGTGGAGGTGGGACAGGGGTCTCAGGGAGCCTGGGGAGATTGGCGTTGTGACATGCCCAAACCTCTGTAATGTGTGTTCTTGTGGTACATGGAGCCGCTGAGGCTGAGGCGCTAGGTTCTTCACCTCTGAAATTCTTTTCAGCCGCCTTGCCTGTATGTGTGAAGTAGAATTGTTAGGAGTTAAAATTGGATATTGAAATTGTACATTGGGCTTACCTTACTGAGCAAGTGCTTTTATTTATTTATTTATTTTTTGGGTTTGAACTCAGGACCTTGCGCTTAAGAGACAGGCGGCAGAACCACTGAGCTAAATCCCTGGCCCTCTGACCAAGTGCTTTTAGAATACAGGGAGTTTGTTGAAAAAAATATTTTGAGACATATATGTCTTCATCTTCCTTTAAAAATATGCTATTTAGTCCAGATATATAAAAAAAAGAGAAGAAATGGAAAAAAGGCTTTTGTAAATGGGGCGGGAAAAAAGGCTTAAAAGTAAGGGGGGGAATGGGAAAAAAAGAATTAAGATGTATTATGTAGAGATACAAAGCCCTGTGATAAACATGATCATTGTGTACGGCAAACATGTACTAATAAAAATACAATAAGACATAATAAAAGTAGGGGAAAATAAAATTTGATATATAATTATGATCTCTGTTGTTAGAATTAATGTAATACATATATAAAATTATACTGTACTATGTTAAACCTTTCTTTTGGTACTGAGGATCGAACTCAGGGCCTTTGTACTTTAGAGGTAGGCGGCAGAACCACTGAGCTAAATCCCCAGTCCCTATATGATACCTTTCTTAAAAAAATACTAGATACCAAGGTATTGTTTATATGCTTAAGCTTCTTTAGCTACTTTTGTTCGGCAGCAAGATTTTTAACAATTCCTCTTCCACTTACAGTGTGTCGGAGCTTTTGGAAAAACATGGAATTGAGAAGCCGATTTCCTTCGTTAAAGACACTCAGTCCAGTGCAGAAGAGGCACGCAAGCTGATGGTGAGGCTGACCAGGCACACTGGCCAGAAGTGAGTTCATAAACCATCCACGGTACTTGTGTGCGAGGGCTTTGTGCTGCTCGTTTCTTCTTGGACGACTTCCGTGAGTTATAGCTGGCATGTACTTTTGAAGGTGTGGTTTGATAAGTTTGATGTGTGCATATCCGGTTGCTGCACAAGGACACAGTGTGTCCATCTGCCCTCCAGTGTTCCCCTTGCTCCTTTATGATCCCACCCTCTCATCGTCAAGCCCCCGACCTCTCACCAGGCTGCCACTGGTCTCTTCTCTTTTTTTCATCACTTCACATTTGCTAGATTTGTGTAAATGTATGTTGTTGTTTTTGTTTGGCTCCTTACACTCAAGGTCATTATTTTCATCCGTGTCATATCATGAATCAATAGTTTATTCCTTTTTATTTGCCGAATAACATATGGATTTATCTTACTATGTCTGTCTACTCACCTGTGTTGAAGGACACAGGGTTGTTTTGACCTTTGGCTTTTACAAACACAGCTGCCATGAATAGCTGTGTACACATTTTCTTGTGTGGGCTCACACTTGAATTTCTCTCGGATAAACACCTGAAAGTGGAGTGGCAGGTTGTGTAGTTGGTGGATGCTCACCTAACTCAGCAACAGAGCCTGCCAAGCTGCCATCTAGGGTGTCTGTTCCATTCCCCTTTGTGACAGGCTCACAGGAGAGTCTCTGTTGCTCTGTACCTTCCTCCACACCCAGGTTTGGTCAGTCTTCTGAGGGGAGCGATTTAATAAGTTCGTAGTGATGTGTGCTTTCAGCTAGTGATGTGGGAGCCCCTGCCTATGCTGATCTACATCTCTGCCTGCTCTGACAGGCTGAGCTGCTTGTGTTCTTATTGAGTGAAAGTTTTCTTACATGATCACTATGCATGTTCCTTGCTACACATATGTGCTTTGTAGCTGTTTATTTATTTCTTGTCATTCTCTGATATATCTTTTGGAATCATACTTAAAAAATCAAATTCTTTTGAATGAACTTGTTCTTTAATAGTGCTTTTGTTAACCTAAGAAATGTTGGCCTTAGTTTACTTTTTGTAGTAAAATTTTTAGTTTTATACTTATAATTAGATTCTTAATCCACTTTTAGAGTTTGTTTTTGTTTATTGCTCAAATATGGGTTAACATTTTTTTCCTCTCTACTGATTGCCTTCCCAACTTCGTTGAAAATCAGTTGTCCCTGTAAGTGAGGGCCTACTTTGAATTTTTATTCAGTTCCATTAGTTTGTCTTTTTTCCTATAGTTTACTGTATTGGTTATTGTAGGTTTATAATAAGTCTTAAAGTAAGGTAATATTATACTCCTGACTTTGTTTTGCATTTTCAGATTTGGTTAGCTAATTATAGGGCTCCCCGTGACCATATATATGCATTTTTGGATCAGCTTGTCCAGTGTTACCATTCAGGGTTTTGGTAGGGATTGCAGTAGATCTATAGATCGATTTTGGGAGTATTTCTGTCCCATAGCTGTAACAGTTTTCCATTCTTGGAGCACATCGTGCCTTTCCATTGACGTGGGTCTTTCATTTCTTTGAAAGATTTTTGGCCTGCAGCGTGTAGGTCTCACACTCATTTTGTTACATTTGCCCTTCGTTGAATCTATTTTAAATGGAATTGCATTCTTACTTTCAGATCCTTTATTCTTAGTTTGCAGAAATGCATTGATCTTGTATCTTCTAACCCTCCTGGTCTCATTTATTGGCTCAAATAGTTTTTCTTTGCAGGCTCTCTCCTGAATGTTATCGTGGAAGCTGTCTGTGTGTGTGGAATTTGGGAACAGTGAGGATAGAGGGCGGGGAGGCTGCACAGGGGCAATTTGTGCCCATCGCAGATGCCTAGGCCCCTTTCTCCTAGCTTTCTCCTTCACAGTGTTGTCGTGCTGTTACTCTGCCTCTTTGTGTTACTTTATATAAATCAAATTTGATGGTATGTATTCTTTTATGTAGTTTTCCCCATTCACATTATAGCATTCGTCCATAATGTTGATGTAACATTAATTTGTTCATTCTCTTTATCATAAAATGTTTCATTTTGTGTATATAACACTTTATATATTCTGCCTAATGGAGTTTTGGATTATTTTTCAGTTTTGCTTGTTATTAATATTTCTGCTATGAATAATTTGGCATTTAACCATCTTTTATTTTTAAATTTTTTCTTTTTTTCTTTTTGAGACATATCTCAGTGGTCTCGCTATATAGTTTGGGGTGGCTTTGAACTCACTGTGTATCCCAGGCTGGCCTCAAACTCTGTGATCCTTCTGCCTCAGCCTCCAAGTACTGGGGTTACAGATGTGTGCCATCATGCCCAGCAATCTTCTTTTGATACATTTGTGTGCTTCTCTTGAATACCTGCCTACCTGGGGTAGAATTGCTGAGTTAAAGATCTACCTGAGTTTAACTTTAGGAGATTCTGCTAGTGTATAATCCTCTTAGAAAACTGTGAACTTAGTGTAAAACTGTCATTTCTCACCTAGCTGACCAGTTCCTTCCCTGCAGTCCAGTGAGAGTCCCACCATGTGGACGTAGTCAAGTGAACGCTTCCTGAGTAGACTCTTTGTTCGGTCCCAGCGTTATGACTGATACAGAGATGGCATTCAGAAAATACGTGTTAGATCCCTCAATAAAAATTTGCTGGGTAGATGACTTACTCATTTTAATGCTCAATACAGAAAGCAGTTTCTCATTACTCTTAGGTACTCAGGGTTTTCAACTGAATGCGTGTGTGAAGAGATAGTAATAATAAATTTCTAAAAACTAGAAAATTTGTGCTCTCTTCATTGTCATCATCTAAAGCAGGACATTTATCCTAACGGAGTTAGAAATTTGCTGAGTTTCTCTTAGGTAATTCCTTTAGACCCAGCTTCAAGACAGACAGGAAACCTAAGTTTGTTTGTTAATATTCACATTTCTTCATCACACATTGACTTATGAGTTTGTGTTCCTATTCCTTTATGAATCTTTTGTTAACTGTGGAATTTGACACACGTGGCTTTGTCTCAGTGTTATGCTTGCTGCAAGGCTTGTGAAGAAGAAAGAGACATAGTACCTGCCCATCAGGTGGGAGAGATTTCCGGTTAAGTCACTTCTCACAGAAGTCTCAGAGAGCCCCAGAGTGAGCTAACAGATCATTTTATAGAAAAGCTGACAACACATCTGAAGGGCGTTTCAAGGTAGGTGTTGTTCAGATGGTTAGTAAACAAGCCAGCATGTTTTGACCTCTTAATTCTGGGGTATGAAAGTAGTAAAGCCTTGGTGGCAGGACCCAGATGGTGAACTGATGGGGAATGCTGGGCACAGATGTTGACAGGAAGTGACTGTTTGTTAGGACTCGCAGAGAGTGTGGGCTGCCTTAGGGTTCAGGGTGCCATGAGAAATTTGATTCTGGATCTGTCACAAGGAGAGTTTGGCAAAAACCTGGAGAAACCTGGGAAAGCCCCTTCTGGCAGGAGTGCACAGAATTAAGTAATGAGAGCTCTGCAAAAGACAAATTTAAACATATTTTCTATATCTAGTTGTTAGGCTTTAGCATTATGGTTTAATCTGAATTTTAAAAAAGAAAAAGAAAAATTGAGTACTAGTAAAATAGCATGACACATGCCCTCCTGTCTCTAGAGCTAGCTCCACATCTTCTTGGAAAGCTCGCTTGAGTTCCCCTTCCTGGAATTCACCAGCACTCTGTCTACCTCTCCTGCTCAGCCCCTGTCCCATCCCACGCATTCTGCTGTGGTTAGTGACATACGCTTCTGTGGTCCTCCCTACAGCTGCCTCACAGCTCCTGTGGGGCTTGCACATCAGTGGCTCCATGCTGTCACTGCACGGATGACCTGGAGGTGATTCAGAGGGCGCCATGGGTGCTCAGCATATCTGAGATCTTGGGGCTTGCTCTTCAGTGGCGAGCCTGGCTGCTGCTGCTGGATGCCCTTGCACCCTCCTGCTCAGTTCCTTATTAACCTGAAGTTAATTTCCAGTCCATAGGATTTCCTCACATGAATATGGATGAGAATTTGGTCTTCTCACAAAGCAGCCAGCTCAAAGTGAATGCTGATTATGTTATGTATGTTCCATGTCTTGGCCTTCAAGGCTGTAGTCTTCTGCTTATTCTAGTCTGTCGCAAATTCAGGTTTTACTATTTTGAGTGCAGTACTGTTTCTCCCTGCCTTGCAAGCACAAGGACCCTAGTTCGATCCCTGGTACAAAAAAAAAAAAAAAAGTAAAAAAATAGCCAGGGATTTAACTCACTGGTTCTGCTGCTTGCCTTGCAAGCATAAGGACCCAAGTTCCATCCCTGGTAACAAAAAAAAAAAAAGTACTGTTTCCCCTGGAAAACATAGTTCCCCTCCAGAGTTGTAACACTGTTTGTGTTCATGGGTCTCTGTGTGAATGTGCAAGCTGTTTGCTTAGTTTCTTCAAATCTTGCTCTTGATTCTTATTTACTGTGTGTTCTGAAAAAGGCCATTATAAATAATGTGTAATAATTTATTTTAATTAGAACCTCTACTTAGGGCCAGCCATGTGTGTGAACACATTACTGCCATCTGTCCCTGTGTCGATGCTTCCAGAGGAACAGCTGGGCCGAGGGAACTTAGAGTCAGTGAGACAGGTCTGGCCCTGACTTGCTCAGGCCGCTGTGAGATGATGCCTGCCACACACCAAGTCTGAAGGGGACAGAAAGTTTAGTACCAGGGCCACACTAAGGGAAATGTCCTGTGGATTATTCTGGAACACTTGCAGATACATCAATTTGTCTTATATATCTGCATGTTGAAAAATCATTTTCTCTTGTGCCTTATTGCATATGGAACACGAGTAAATGTGTATTTTGTGTAATAAATATAAAATGCTGTAGGCAAATGAAGCATATGCTTATTAAAGACTTCAGGCAAAGCTGGGCATAATGGCATGTTCATGTAGTTCCATTTACCTGGGAGGCTAAGTCAGGAGAATCACTTGAGCCCGAGTTCGGCTCATAGCCTGGGCAACATAGTAAGACCTTGTATTCAAGCCCAAACAAGAAAAATTCGGAGGAAAAATTCTTAGAAATATGTTTTTCATAGGAATCGCCCCTAATATATACTTTTTCTATAGTAATAACTATTATAGACACACAAGCTATGACTAGTTTTAAATGCACAAAAATTGGAAATACAGTGGTCCCTCAAGTCATTACTGCCCCAACCTACAAACATCTTGGGTTATAACTGGTATTTTTAGTTTTAACTTACCACCAAAGTCTTGAGTTACTCTCTGAATGCTGGCTGCTTGTGCTTTCAGATGGTCTCAGATACAGACTTAACCCTTAAAGATTTTGGAAGGAACATTACAGCATCCTTTTCTGTGTGGGGTTGAGAAATCCTAGGCAACTGTCTCTCTAAGAACACTGAGATTTGCCTGGGTACAGGAGAGAGACTTTGCAGGGTGTATAATGAGCCTGAGCCTTCAACTGACCAACATGAGTTACAACCAACCCTTTAGAATGAATTGAGTTCATAAGTCCCACTATAGTAATGTTTTTAATGGTATTTCATAAGGCAAAAAAAAAATTCATGAGAAAGTAGCTATATATGTTGGTATTTGCCAAACACAAAATGGAATCTGCTCTTTTCAAGCATTGAGGTTGTTATGTAGAACTTCAAGACCACAAGGGAAACAAAAATGCTAATGTTAGACTCACACATGTTCTTTTTTTTTGGTACTGGGGCTCGAACTCAGGACCTTGTACTTGCAAGGCAGGTGGTGGATCCACTGAGCTAAATCCCTGGCCTGCACACACATTCTTAATTGATGGGAACTTTTGAGAGAAGCAGAGAGAACTGTAAAATATTCTCCTTCCCACTAGACAACATTAGTCATCACGTGTGCAACTTAAAAAGCACATGCAATGTGTTGTAACCCAGATTTATTCATTCACACATGTCAGACACTTGCTATGCCTTAGAAAAATCCAATCTTTTCATGTGTTCTAGAATAAGTTTCTGGTCACAATACAGAAAAAGGAAATCTGAAACTCAGATTTAAAGTTTTATTTCAATCCATATAGGTAATTGAGCTGATTTTTTGATTAGGAGGATCTTCCTGCGGTGCCTATGTTTGATCAGAATTAACCTCATCCTTCCTAATGTGTCTCTGAGGAGGGCTTTGAGTGAGGAAGTGAAGTGCAGGAATATTAAGTGATTTGCTTTACGATCACACCACTGGTCTGTGAATGTGTGAATTGTTAGTAAAACATTTTCTTTTTGTAGTACTGGGGATTTGAATTCAGGGGTTTCACATAGGGCCACATCCCCCTTTTCTGTATTTTATTTTGAGACAAGATCTCAACAAGTCTCCAAATTGCCCAATCTGGACTTGAACTTGCCATCCTCCGGCCTCAGCCTTCTAGAGATGTGGGATTGATTACAAGAGGTCATCCCAAGGCCCAGCTGTTAGCAAAACCCTCTCCCCTGCTGTGGGAGAGTCTGACCATGCATCCTCTACTCTGTAACTTTACAAAGCAACACAGAATGGCTTTTCATCAACTGGAGTGCCAAGGCCTCACTGCCCGTGTACACTTGTTGGGCTGGGAAATTCCCGGTGGCATTCAGGAACTGTGAATGAACTGTAGGTACTGGCAGGGACGTTAGGCTTTGGCTTTCCTAGGGTGTGGTCTCTGGTGTGGACACTGCGTGTGAACTTACTGAGGAACACATGGGGCCTTTCAGAACATGCATCTTTCCCCTGAGCCTGGAGGGGTAGAGTCTCTGGCTGCTGTGCCCCTGGGCTGTCACCAGAACTCATGGCTGCGTACACTGTCTGTGAGTCGCTCTGTGGACTGTGACCAGCACTGGTTGATTGTGGAGGCGTGGTTCCTGCCCTCCAGCAGTGCAGCCTGTGGCTGTCAACACCTCTGAAATTTTGCTGAAGTTAGAATCCTGCAAGCCAGCACTGGGTGATGAAAGCGGACTTGGAATAACCGTCTCAGGTGTATCTCACAGCTGCATCACCTCACTGCTGTATTCAGTTTGTCTGGTGTGTTTAACGTGCAGTGCTCTTCCAGTGTTGTGTCCCTGTGGCCGATGACGGACTGGTGGTGTCGTAGCTCTGGCACTGATGCACATCTGAGCTGCCCCACTTTTCCCTCTACCCTTGATCCAAGTTTTTCCTGGGAAGTGGAAATGAGAGCTCCTTGGTGACCCTTAGGAGTTGCTGTGCTGTTGTGGCCGGAGAGCCGTTCCCTGAGCTGTTGTTTCTCCGCAGGCAGCCTCCGGTGGGGGAGTCGCACTGGAGGGCGTTGCTGCAGGACATGCTCACCATGCAACACAGTGTGTACACCTGCCTGGATCCCGGCGCCTGCCACGAGGTAACTGAGGCTTGGGCTGCCCTTCCTTGGTCCTAGGTGTGCTGTGAGGTCGCTAGAGTCTGAAACGCATGCTTTTCAGTTGGAGTGCTTTCATGTCTGCCCTCCCTCTCCTCCCTGCTTGTTTATTGCAGTAGCATGAATTTAGCGGATTGACCCTCAGCTACCAAACTCCTGGCTCTTCTCCCTTCCACACTGTTGGTGGTCATGGAAACTCATTTCATCAAACAACTTAGTTATCGTATCTGAGATGTGTTCTTTCTTCTTTTGTCTGCTCAATCGAGCTGGTCTGCTGCTTGCTTTCCTGTGTCCACACAGCTACTGATTTCAGAACTCAACCCCTCATTATGCTCCCAGGACACCACTGTCATTTCATGGAGCCTACTTTTCCCTGTCCTTTCCTAGCATGTTGTTGCTTACACATGTGTCCCTTTCATGTGACTGTGAGCTGCGAGTAGGCATTATCCTGTCCTGTCCATCCTCAGGGCCTCAGCACATACATAAAGTAGGATTTGAAGGGCGCTTTAGAAATGCCTGTCACTTGACAGGTCCCTTTGTGTACGGTAATCTACTCAGTATTTTGTAGGGTATGCACATTACCCATAAATTACTTATGGTTTCTCTGGGGAAATGATCCAACTAACTCATTTTTAATGAAACACAATTTAAAAGAGACTTGTTATTTGAATTTGCTTGTCAAATAAGCCAGGCACAAAATCATACTGTTGTGAAGGTAGTTCTCTCTTTTGTGAAATTGTTTAATTTTTAAATTATAGGTGATTTTAACAACAAAAAAAAAACAATAAGAGGAGAGGCTGTTGAAAAATGAATGGTTTGTATTTGAATATCAGGTTTTAAATGCTTGAATAATTGTATTGTTCATAGCGAGGATTAGTCTCTGAGGTATTCAGCCACTGGTAACTCCCCCTTTATACCTAGCTGTTTATATAGCAGAAGTAGTTTTTTTTTGTTTGCTTGTTTTTACAAAGGAATGGTATTATTTTGGTACTTTCTTGATTTTGACAATAATCCTGACTCTGATGGAAAAATTGAGCCAGCACTTGTATTCAGTAGTCTTTCAAAATCACTTGACATATTGCATTAAAAGTATTTTAGTGCCTTTTATTAGAATTGGTATGTTCGTGATGTCTGTCCAAAAGTCTGTCTTTCAAGAACACATGTGAAAGCCTAACACTTTGAAAATATTGTAGAAGACAATAGTATAGATTCAGCAAATGTAATTCAGCCTTTTCTTATCTTTTAAACTATGTTATATTGTCTTACTACCTTTTGGGCTTTTGTCTTGGAATTAATTTGTAAGCTCAGGGGCATAACTGAAAATGTTAGTCTGTGGGACAGACCCCTATATTGTTCATTTTAGCAAGAGCTAGTAGGGTTAGGGCTAGTAAATTGTGTTTCTCAGCATTGGCCTTGGCTCTTACAGCTTTAGTGGATAAGCAGAGTTATGTAGAGGAGCTGTTACATGCACGACACTGAGTTAGACTTGGAACAAGCCATCTTCATCTGTTACAATGCTTTCTGTTACACTTTTTTTTTTTTTTTGCTACCGGGGATCAAACTTGGGACCTTGTGCTAGGACCTATGCTTGCAAGGCAGGCAGCGGCACCACTGAGCTAAATCCTTGGCCCTGTTACAGTGTGTTTTATTGCAGTCTCTCTTAAATATGTTTATTGCTTTGTATCCTTATCAGGTATCTCAATAAAGGCTTGTCTAAAAATGGAAAATGCCTCCTGTCTCAAGTGATAATAAAAGAGTCTTATGAGAATTGGGTAGTCTTATTAATTCAGAGGAAACTCTTGCTTTTCCCTGAAATTTTATTTTTCATTTCTTGCTTTTCCCGAAATTTTATTTTTCATTTCTTGCATTTCTGTGCTGTTGTCATTGACCTGTGGAGTAACATGGAAAAGCATTCTTGTGAAGTTCTCATACTAATTACTTATAATGCTAGTAGTATAGGCTTAAGAGCCTCACGATGTTTAATTCTTTAAGATTTTTAGAGTAAGTACGTAAAGAATTAATTTCATGTGGGGTGTGGTGGCACAGGCCTGTAACTGTGTTGTTACGGGAGGCTGAGGTGGGAGGATGGCAAGTTTGAACCCAGCCTGCGTGACTTAGCGAGACCAGGGCTCTTCATAAAGAGGGCTGAGGAGGCAGCCCTAGTTCGGTCTCTAATTCTGCCCCCCCGCCGATAATTTTATGTTAATGGTGCTATTTCTTGCCAAGTAGAATATGACATTTTCATGAATGTCTTACATCAGCATCTCTCGTTTTACTGAGGTAATGTTCAGTATGCAGGTTGGGGCGAAACAGCGTTGTAAGGATATCTTCAGTGACTAGGTGCAAGTGTAACTTTTGTAGCTTACCTGTTTGGTTTGTAAGACTGAATTCTGCTGCTTTAGTTGTAAATTATATGTATCAGGTTGAAGGATTTCTTTTAAAGAACTGCGTGCTTAGTTTCAGCAAAGTAGGCCTTGTTGAAGGTGGGACAATATGTGTAACAGACCCTCTTTTTACCGAATATGAATTTCAGATACTTGACTCAAGTATTCATGTAACACCTTAAAATAATCTGCTTTATTTATCCAGTGAGATTATTCTTCCATTTTCCTAAAAGATGGCTTTTTCATTGAGGTGAGATTCATACAGTACAGAATGAGCTGTTTCACAGTGACCACTTCGCGGGTACTGGGTGTGTCTGTTCCCTAGGGAACTCCGCCTTGCCTCTGGCATGGGTGGATTTCAGAGCCCTGGTCCTGCTGAGATGCCAGCCTTCCCTCCGCCTCATCCCGCTCCCTCTCTCCTAGATCTTCACGGAGAGCCTGCTGTGCTCCAGTCGATTGGAGAACGTCCAGCTGGCCGGGCAGATGATGCACTGCCAGGCTGGCTCAGCCGACCCTCCGGCCAGCGCAGCCCAGAAGGGGAGGCTGCAGTACCAGGTCGGTTATGAGAAAAGTGTGGACCTGGTCCTGGCTGCCAGCAGGGAGTACTTCAACTCCTCCACCAGCCTCACGGACAGCTGCATGGACCTGGCCAGGTGGGCACCCTGCTCCCCTAGGAAGGGCAGTGCACCACATTCCACACTGTAGAGAGAGCCGACGGCTGTGGGTGGTGGGCAGCTTCCTCCTGACCGCTCCTCCAGCTGCTCTCTTGTGCAGATCTTCCTGTCGGAAGTGGCCTCTCCAGTCTAGCTCTGGGCCCCGTGTGCCTGTGTGAGTTGCATCCGTCCCCTCTGTGGAACGGCCACTCTCTTTGCAGGACTGATTCAGTGGCAGAGCTCAGCTGACCCTTCTGAGGCCCGTGAATAAGTTTCTAGTTTATGCATTCAGTCCTTTACTGGACTGTTCTGTGAGCTCCTCATTTTTAACATGAGAAAGCAGGTGTGTTCAGGATCTAAATATTCATAATCAGTTATGCAAACTCACATTGAGTTTTTCAATTTGTTCAAGATTTGAAAATAGTTTTTATAAGTTTCATTTTTATAAATTAGAAGAGTTCAGTAAATATTGATCAAGAAAACATATATCATCTCTGTAAAGAATCTTAAAAACCTCACAGTGTACTTCATTGGTCCATTTTTCACGATTATAATGAAATATAATATAAGTATAGATACTTATGAAGAGAAGAGGGTTTGAGCTCATACTTTTGGAGGTTCTCCCAACTGTCAGTCTTTAAATTTCTGCCCAGTAGACACCTGCGTGTATACATTTCCTTTTCAAACACCTTCCTGATTTTTGCTTATTTTTTTCTATCGTGTTCATCTTTCTACTCTTGATTCTTAGGGTCTTTTGCCCTCTTAATAACAGTGTCAGCATTGACTTATCTTTTCAATTTTATTCAGAATTATTTAAAAATTTTCAATTGCTGTACTTTCTCTTATTCTGAATTTTGTGTCATCCTTTGAAAGCCTTTAATTTCTAAGACCATTAAAATATTTCTTCTTATTGTTTCATAGTATTTGATTATTTTTTACATTTAAATTGTAGGCCCATTTGGAAGTTATTTGGATAATGTGGTAGTGATGAGGATTAATGTCCCTGCTAAATGACTTGTAGTTTTTTTTTTTTTTTTTTGACTCATAGTTGTTTTAAACCTAGCAAAACTGAAAGCAGCCTTTTATCCTCTGAGATATCTTACCTAGATAGAATTGTGTTATCTTAAACCATCTTACTGAACCTGACAAAGTTGGTTCAAGTAGTTCGCAGGTCTTTCATTTTTTTTCTCTCAAGGGCTTTTTTAAAAATTTCAAATGATAGCAATATAAAATAGACAAGGCTTTGAGATGGGGAGTTGTGTTTCTCAGAGACCACTCACCCCCCATCCTCCTGGTGTCTCCCCTACCCATGCATTGCTTTCTGTCCCATAGGAGCTGCCTTCCTGTGTGCGTGTGGCGTGTGTGTGTGTGCAGTGCATGGAGCTCCTTGTCCCCTGGGATCCCTAATCTGTCCATCTCAGAGTTGTCAGTTATACCAACCACAGAAGAGGCCTTATTCACTCTTACTGATTGAAGTGTTAAGTAGCTTTTCATTGAAGAAACAATAGCCACACCATTCAAAAACACTACAATTTGACAGTACTTCCATTTTCCTGGCAGTTCCCCTAACTTTACTCCTAAGCTGTTTTTAAAATCATCTTCTTGGGGCCAGGGTTTTAGCTCAGTGGTGTCACTGCCTCCCTCACAAATGCAAGGTCTCGAATTTCAATCCCTGGTACCAAAAACACAAAAACAAAACAAAAAAAGCAATAAAATCAATTTCTTGTGTGTCCTTTCAAACACTTTATTAAATATTGTCCTTTTTTTAACTAACAAGTGATTTCTTACTGTTTAGGGTACCTTTTTAATCCTTGCTTTTTCTACATGTTCTCCTTGTTCTTCTGTATACACACTTACAGACCTGTTTCATCTTTTTCTGACAGTTGTAGAATATTCCATTTTCTGACTTCATAGAGTTGCCAATCTGGCATATTTTCCTTCAATTTAAAGCTACCTGGGTATCTGTAATAGTGTGTCTTTGAGCATGTAGAACCCTATCTGTAGAAGTTTCTAGAGCTGCACTTTTTGAGTTTAGACAGAAGTACATTTGGAGTCTTGATAGAAACCACACTTGAATCAGCAGTGTATATATGAATACTCAACTGATTTAAATGTTACGGGTCTGCTAAAGCAAGCCAAGACTCTGTCAGCCCTCTCAGTGCCTTTCTGACCCCTCGCAGTGCCCTCTGCTGATCATTGACTCTTCTGTGACCTTTGCCCTTGCCTGTTTGCTCTCTTTCTAGTCTAACAATCCAATGATCCTCTCCCTTTCAGAAAATAAGTTCATTCATTCAGCAAAATTTGATTGGCTGTACTTTTTCTGAATTTTAAGAGAGTTGGTTAAAGCACTCCTTAGGCATCATATATTCTTAGATTAGCCAGTCTCTCTGTGGTTGATCTCAGGATTCTTCTTCCCCCTTGGCAGCTCTTCTGTCATTGTTTTGTTTCTCTGGGGAGACCAAATTGAGATAGAATCAAGACATTCCTTTTTTTCCTAAAAGGGAGCCTGAATTGATTTGAATTCTGTCTTTTAAAGAAATGGTTTCTAATATAACCATTGCCTTTGCCCTCATCAGTAAAGAGAGCACTAAGCCGGTGCTGGTGCTGTCACACGGTGTCACTGTAACTGCAGTCACGTCGCTCTGCTTCCCTCAGCTTCCGCTCTAGTTTCCTACAAAAGCTGACACTGATGCCTACCTGGACTTGCGGTGAGGATTAAGTGAGATAAGGAAAAGCAGGAGGAGTACCTGGAAGGTAGTAAAGTTTAGATAAATATGTGTTGGATATTGTGCTGTTGAATATAGAACAGATACTGGTTGAACATATGCTGCTGCTTCTTTCTCAGCAGTTATCTCTTGTCTCGCAGGTGCTGCTTACAGCTGATAGCAGATAGGCCCACTGCCATTCAAGAAGAGCTCGACCTAATCCAGGCTCTTGGGTGTCTGGAAGAGTTTGGGGTGAAGATCCTGCCTTTACAAGGTGAGTTTCCTGCTTAACATTTCATTCATTTTTAGTAACTTATTTGTAACATTTTAAGCAAGTACATATAAGGTGACTGTTAATTCACTAGAAAATCCTGTTCAGTCATACCATCCATGTAGTTGTGGACCTCAGATCTTATTAAAATTGGGAGGATCCATCAGAGTTACTAAAAAGCTTTTTCAGGAGTTCTAAGCTTGAGCTTATTCTAACCTTCGCCATTAAACATTTATTTCACTGTACTTTTTAATCACAGAAGAATCTGTAGCACAGTGTGACTTTTTGTCTACCTTTATCTCTTGTTAAGTTAAATCATCACAGTTTGCTCTTACATGTGTATTTGCATGTATCTGCACTTTAGCTGCTTATATGCAGCATGATTGAAAAATATGGTGAATATTTAAATTTTAAAATTTTATTACAGTAAAGGACACATTGTCATGAATCCCCCTCAAAATCCTCCTCCCATCACTCTCAACACACTCATCCCACCGTCCTTACCACTTCCTGCAGCAGCTCTGGAGTCCTCTTTCCTGAGGGTCTTTAGCTACGTTGTCCTGGCTGCCTCGATGTCCTGAATGGATTCAAAATGTCACCCTTTCATAGTCATTTTGACTTTAGGGAAGAGCCAGAAGTCAGTCTCATGGTGCTAGATGAGACATAGCATCATGTTTTTGTTGTTTTGTTGTTGTTGTTGTTGGCCTCACATTAGGTTAATCATGACATTATTTCTCGATGCCCCCAGTTACAACAGGTCTTTCTGTGTCTTTCTTTTGTAGTGCGATTGTGCACTGACCGGATCAGCCTTATAAAAGAATGTATTTCCCAGTCCCCTATGTGCTACAGACAGTCTGCCAAGCTTCTCAGCCTTGCTGAGTTGCTGAGGGTTGCAGGTAAGGATTTTGAATGCTGGGCTTGCAGGATCAGTGTCTGTGTCATTCCTGACATCCTCCTAGCTGAACCTCAGGGCTCAGAAATGCATCCTTTGGGATGTGAGGGCAATCTGGCTGCGACTTCAGTCTTTCCATTGATTTGGCTGATATGGCTGGCTAGATGTGTGTCCCCTTCCTCCCTCACTGCTCCATGTGTGTCCCTCCTAAAGCTGAACCCTCTGTTGAAGAGGACGACCACCCCCAATAGAGGGTGTCCGTTTCCTTGGCCAAGGGTGTACAAGTAGTTGGGCTCCCCTGCTAGAACCTCCAAGCAAGCTCTCAAGAAATGTGTCCTTTGGGCCAGGGTTCGTGTTCCCTTGACATCATGGCATGGTCTGATGTTGTGGATCAGGGCTGTGCTTCTCGGATGAAGGATATTTGCCAGACTGTGGCATGGAGGACCCCCCCCCCCACAGAGCTGGGGCCTGGTAGACTCAAAGGAGTCCACCTAGCACTTGTTCAAGGAGGTGGCCTTTCTTGCCACTCTGGGCCACACTTAATTCTCAGTTTTTAAATACCAGTTGGATCTTTCAGATGAGAACTATTGCATTGCGTGTTATCTTAACCCACTCACTTTGTCTATGAACCCTTTTATAACTTTTCTTTTAAAGCATGGGTTTATTCTGTTTTCCTTATCTTAGTAACATCAAGGCCTCTCTGTTGGCTGTAGGCTGCTCTGGTTTTGGACTTTTGGATCTACATATTTTAATTAGGAACTGATACTAATCATTGATCTCTTCAGAGCCTGAGGTTACTTCCATGGATAGTAGGTAGATTGAAACATCAGAGTTGCTGTTAACCTCTTGCCCTCTAAAATCTTTTAAATCAGTTTATCCCATGTGTTTTATTTTTGAATTAATTTGAAAGTCGTTGCTGCTGAGCTCTTTTATCCATTGCTGATGCCACAATCATTACACCTTTGCCTGTGCTTGTAGGTGAAGACCCGGAAGAGCGACGTGGGCAGGTTCTGATCCTGTTAGCAGAGCAGGCTCTTTGCCTCCATGACTACAAAGTGGCCAACGTGCACTGTCAGGAGCTGATGGCTGCAGGTGAGCCACAGCTGCTGGGCACCTTGCTCGTGTCCTTGTATGCATTTGAGTAATGGAAAGCTGAGTTCTGAAACTGCTGGCCTGACTGCAACCTAGCCGAATTTCTGCTCAAGACACACTTTCTTAGCCTGACAAGTATATGTGGGGGATACTTAGACATTAGCGCTGTAATGGGCCCAGCCTTTCTGTTTTATCTGAGATTTTGTTTGCTTTTGATTCTGTATTGAAAGTATGTTCATAATTGTAAGAACAATTTCATGTAATACATTTTAATACTATTATGGGTTTAGTATGTAAATGAAAACAGAGTTTGTTTTTTTTTTTTTTGAGAGAGGTTCTCACTATATAGTTGAGACTGATCTGGAACTCACTATGTAGCCAAGGCTGGTCTGGAACTCACAGCGATCCTCCTGCCTCAGCCTCCCGAGTGCTGGGATTACAGGCGTGCGCCACCACGTCTGTCAAAAACAGAGTTTTTAAGTATCTGACTTTAGAGTCAATATTCCTATTCTTTAATTTAAAAAACCACCGAGTGCTTTTCAAGGTAACGTTGAAAAGTTGGGGAGTAGTTGTATCCTTCAAATTTTTCATATTGGAATTCAAATTTGTGTCCCTGGAAGGCAAGGAGATTGTGACGAATTGTGTCTCAGCTAAAGGACTCACTTCCCAGTGGGACTGGAAGTGGTGTCCTGCTCTCAATGACCTGCTCCTGTCCCTACCCCTGAGTACTCTGTACCTCACAGTGAGTACTTGAAACAGTCCTTCGCATTGTGGGGTGGTGCAAATCATGGGGAATGATTTGTGCATTTATTGTTATTTTTTGGAGCTGAGGGTTAAACCTGAGACCTTGTCCGTGCTGGGCACGCGCTGTCCCACCTGCTGTGTACCCCCAGCCTGATTCGTGCTCTGTCTCTGTGTCCATTCTCAGTGAAGTGTGCTGCTGACACCTGTAGTAACGGTGAGGAAGGCTTCCTTGAGAGCTGTGGTCTGCTAGGACTTGCCATAGTGCCGCCAAGTAGCCTGAGATTCTGGCTGCTCATAGGATGGAAGTCATGTGTTGGCCAATTCCAAGGAAAACAAATGTTTACTGTGGGAAAGAAGTGCAGCTAGCTGCTCCACAGACAGCACCTGGTAAAGGGCCACAGAGAGCAGCCAGGACAGAGCAAGGGTCTCCATGAGCTGTCCTGGCTTCCTGCAGGAAGGGGCGAGGCCCAGGACGGGGAGAAGTTAGTTATGAGCGGGCAGGACTTCGGAGTTCAGGGTCAGCTTGGGGTCAGCATGGCACTGTCTCGCTGGCACCAGTCTTGTCCAGTTTGCCCACATGCACTTTTCTTATCTCAAGGACTACAGCAGCATGCTTGCTTCATCAAAAGCCTGATTGGCTTTTCTGGTCTTAGCACCAAAAGTTACTTTTGCTTGTTTTGTCTGTTTTGGCTTCAAAGTCCTGCCAATGCTCCCAGGCAGAGGCAGAGCGGGGAGACAGATCTGAGCCAGTAGATCCAGATGCAACAAGGACAGGAAGGCACTAGAGCCAGGGAGTAGACTGAGGGGCCAGTGGGTGGACAGTACCAAGAAGAAGGTCAAGGGAGAGCACTCTGCTTTAGCTGGTTTAAGGGGTGTGTGCTGAAGGCAGGCCTAGGTGATTGGATGCCACGACCAGAAGAGGAGGCATTTGAGCAGATCTGGAGGACGTGGTGCCAGTCTTGATGACACTGAGTCTGAGGCCTGCCCAGCAGGGAGATTAAGGCTGAGGCCTGCTGGAGAGGGACCCCAGGGAGTCTGACCAAGGTTTGGTCAAGGAGAGAATCTATAGCACTGATCTACACAAACATTTCAACCTGGAAGAACTCAGGATGGTGCTTCTCACCCTCAGCACCAGAGCACTGGGTCATAAAAGAGCTGCATTCTTTAATATTAATGAAGTGATTTTGTCACATGAATGTCATCATGGTTTTGTCTATAGATGCCATATTAATCCAAAATTGTTTATCTAGAGAAGTTTACAATACTAGCCTTCTGCCTATCAGGGTAGTACCTGGATTAAATTATACTTTATATATTTGAAGAGATTATTCTGGACTGAGCCCTTTATCCTTAGATAGAAGAGCTGCTTTTAAATTGGAACTCCTTCAAATAAGAAAGAAGTGTATGTGAAGTATTCACTCTGTGACACTATGCAGGAGAAAGACCTCTGCTGGGAGTCAGGCGCCTCCCTTTGTCCCTGTCCTTGGATGGACACTTACCTTTTTCTATAAAGTGCATGATGCCATGTGGATATCTGACTTGATGTCACTTTATCTGGCCCTTTGCACTTTCTGATGTGGTTTTAAATTTAAATGTTACTTCATAACATTTCAGGAACCCAGAGGATTATTGTCCCTCTGTCGTGGCATAGAAGCTGTGGCGATCTGAGCTTTCTCAGAGTTACACAGTACTAAGTAGCTGGGGAAACCATGTCCTCAGCCTCTGAATTCATATAGCCACCTTAGTACTTCACATTAGAGCCTAGTAGATTACGTGTACTCATTTTCAGCTAACCAAACTTAGAGAGTTGGTAAATAGCACATGTCTGGAGTAGCCCTGAATGTTTTAGATAAGAACTCAGCCTTGTCTTTCTTCTCTTAGAATCTTATGCATTTCTGCCTAATAAGGCTGGGGATTTAGCTCAGTGGTTTGGTGGCCTGCCTGGCAAGCGCAAAGACCCAAGTTCAATCCCTAGTACCAAAAACAAGACAAAAATCTCTGCCTAATATATCAGTAATAACTGTGCTTTGCTTGGTACTGTAAGACCTGAGCAGGAGTCCATTTTATGCCTCATCTTATTTTGGGTATTATTTTGCTTCTGGAAATAATTTTTTGCTGTTGTTGCTGTTTTTTCAGGTTACCCTCAAAGCTGGGACGTCTGTAGCCAGTTGGGACAGTCAGAAGGTTACCAGGACCTGGCCACTCGACAAGAGCTCATGGCTTTCGCTCTGACACATTGTCCACCTGGCAGCATCGAGCTGCTCCTGGCAGCCAGCAGCTCTCTGGAGGCTGAAGTAAGTGTGCCAGGGAAAGCAGGGTGGACCCTTGCCTGGGGAGGGTACTTTGTTGGCCATGTGGGACTCAGAGGTTCTTTCTGCTTTTTCAGTAATATAAGAATTCTAATTTGTAGAAGAAAAATAGGTTGTCACATGAAAAGGGATTTGAGAATATAAACAGAAAAGACACAGACAGGCTTGAAACAAATTGAAAGTAATATTAGGAAATAAATCATTGAGTCTAAGGGGAAAGTTAACATGGTCAAGAAGATATTTATATGGGAAATGGTCAAGGTAAAGAAGCGCTAGCATGCTCCTTGGAGTCCCTTGGACGTTGGCAGTGGCATGGGCTTTGGCTGGGAGTTGCTGAATTTCCTCAGGTGTACAGCCTTGATCATTGTGATGAGAGGCAGATTTAAAAACACAGCTCCTCTGTGACCTAACCTGTTCTCATTTCAGATTCTTTACGACAGAGTGAATTCCCAAATCCAGCCAGAAGGAGGAGAGAGTGTCAGTGTCTCACCATTGGTTGGCAGGGTGCCACATGAGGTGAGCTGCGAGGAAAGGAGGAGGGTTCGTGGAGGGCTGTGAGCACAGTGAAACGCAGTGGGTCCCCGACCTCTGGTATGAGTGGTGTGTGTGTGTGTGTGTGTGTGTGTGTGTGTGTGTGTGTGTAGCATAATAGTCATATAGAAAAGTCCACAAGACAGAAATGTCCAGCTCAACAAGTTATCTCTTCTCTCTCTCTCTCTCTCTCTCTCTCTCTCTCT